CACACACACACACACACACACACACACGCTTAAAATAAAATAATTTAATTAGGCAGAACAGCATCTGAAAACTTTAACTGTCAGATTCTTAACATAGGAAAGTAATAAATCTATATGCAAGAGGTGATTCGCAAGGAAAATATGTTATATTGACTCACCAATCTATATAAATAAAAATGTAAATATTCGTTTGTTCAAAATCTTAAATCGCCGAAAGTTCTTCACCGATTGCTTTGAAATTTTGACACGTTGCATTCGAATACGCGCGCGTTTTTATATACCTATATTATATAGATGTCACACCTGTGACAGGTAAAAACATGTTTTGAAAAACAGCACCATCTGTTGGACATAAAAGCAACACACACTTTTACCAGACTGAGCCACAGCAACGCGTGGCTGGGTACAGCTAGTAGTCTGATATAATTGTGATATTTACTCTTCAGATGGATGCACTATCCACTTTGAACGGGTGTTTTCAGAAGGAAGTTCCCGGAAGATAATGGGCTTATTCTAAAAGAAGCCTGAATTTTTTCATGCTCAAGATAAACCATTCTGGAATGCTAATTGCCTTTGGAGTAGAAAACTGAGGAGCTCTACAGTTAAGTGACTGTTTAAAGTTATGGTGGTGCTGAATAATAGTTTTGTCTGGTCCCCAAAGTTAAGGCTGCAACATATCATGGCCACTTGATCAAAATTCAGGTGTTTGGCAGCCCAGCCACATTTAGGATTGCAGGGATGTTTCAATTTCCTCCATCTGCCTATCTCCTCAACCCCCCCACCCCCATCTTGGCCCTTTTGGCCACTCTGCATTCCATTGGCTCAGCTTGCCCTCACTCCCTCAAGTGATCTTCACTGTCTTCTTCCCCTGCTGGTGACAAGGCGTGCTGGCCTGGCCCTTCTTCCCTGAGCTCTATGTAGCCCAGGGGTAGGCAGCCTTGGCTCTTTTATGACTCGTGGACTTCAACTCCCAGAATACCTGAGCCAGCTATGCTGGCTCAGGAATTCTGGGAGTTGAAGTCCACGAGTCATAAAAGAGCCAAAGTTGCCTACCCCTGATGTAGCCTTATCCAAATCATCAGAAAGGTAAAGTCACCCTGGACCTATTTCTTTGATGTTTCTTTTATACATCTCAGAATACATTGGCTTGCAGGAAGCTTGCTATCATTCAGTTTTCAGAAATACATCAGAAATATGGTGTTGTAATATTTAATAAGAAAAAATATAAAATGTCTACATTATTAGGAGAATCTCTTCAACTGACATTGTGCCACTAAGCAACAAACTATCATCCCAATAAAGCTGGCTCAGAAACCTGCAAATTTTGCCAAGCATACAGAAATCTAGTATAGAGACAATTAATTAGGATGTCATCTTCACATTTTACTGGGAATATTGATTTTTCAGAAAAGGAAGCTTTATCTATTAAAAAGAAAAAGAAATAGTGAGGAATATTATTGAACAACTGCCCCTAAAAGAAAGGGAAGGCAGAGGAAAAATGCCTACTGATGTTTCAATATATAGAATATATTTGGCAGAAAAACAGAGGGGATGTTTGTATAGCGTATTGATATTATACATCTTCAAGATCTGGTGTGATGTAACAATTTGAAGATTATATAAGTATAGTATTAAGTAAAAAGAACAATGTGTATCGTAACCAAAGAATAAAAGATGCAGTAGTCTTCAATTTAGGACCTTAGAAAAGTTTCCATTAAAAAAACCTACACAAATGCTTAGGTTGCATTTTTTTTTAAATAACAAGGTCATTATATAAATAGCAAGCATAACAAATGGATGCAATTTGTCACATGCTGATAAATTCAGCAAAAATGAATGCTTGGATACACTTGGACTGAGAAGTGAATCAGAATTATATGTAAGGGAAAGAAAAAAAATCTGAGGAGGAAAATGAGAGAAAGAAATGCGGATTACAATGTCTTAACAAAATAAATTATGACAAAGTATTGAGTCCTTATAATATGAAGGAAGAAGCAAGGGAAAGAATACTCTACTGTTTCAAAAAAAAAACAGGATTCATTGCCATTTAATTTTTTTTACAGAAAAACAAACAACAGAAAAGGGGATTTTTAATCTCAGCCTTCTCTTCCACATGTAGTAACCCCATTAATAGCCCAGGCAAGGGCTATTTATTTATTGACCATCTTTATCACTGCAAAATATAAACAAAAAAGCTTAAGAATGTTTTCTCCGATTTTTTCCCCACGCCTTCGTTGCCCCAATACTTGAATGTCATTTTATTCTATTCGAAATGCATTGCACCATGAAATGCGGTTCATTTTTGGTGCTGACCGACAACTATCGCTTTAGCCCAGCGTTTTTCAACCTTGGTAACTTTAAGAAGTCTGGACTTCAACTCCCAAAATATTTAGGGCGAATTCCAGGAGTTGGAAGTCCACAGATCTTAAAACTGCCAAGATTGAAAAAACTTCTTCGCGATCCCGGACCCTGCTTCGCGGCAGCAAAGAGGGCGCTTCTCCGGCGACGGATTCCTCCCGCCTCTCTTCCCTTCCTCTTTCCGAGCCCAGAAATAGCCTCCCCTCCCCACGCCGGGCAGAAAGTTGCCATTCGGTGTAAGACTTGTACCGCAACGTTCAGCTCGTTACGTATAGGCGGGAATCACTGCGGCGATTCAAGATACTTCTGGCGCTACGGAAGTGGCGTTACAGAAAGGGCGGAATCCGTCGCAATCATAGAGATAAAAATAGAGCGATGCTTTTCCGTCCTGGTTGGCTTAAAGCGAAGGCTTCCTTTTTCCACAAGGGCACCACATGGTTTTGGAAAAGGAAAGAAAGGGCGCATGCAGCTGGGCTTTAGGCTGGGAGATGATTACCCAGGAGGTATTGCAGGGGGAAATGTAAAAGCGAGATGGCCTGGGAAACAATTACTTTTAAAGTTGATTCCCAAAGGTGCTTTTTCAAAAGGCAACTGGACTTTGTCTTTCCTTGAAGACGTTTCCTTCTCATCCAAGAAGCAACTTGAGTTCAGTTCAACTGAAGAAGCTTCTTGGATGAGAAGCAAAACGTCTTCAAGGGAAAATAAAGTCCAGTTGTCTTTTGAAAAAGTACCTTTGGGACAACCATGACCTACATGACTGAGAATCTCTATAGAGATAAAGCTGATTCCATGAACAATGAAGTATGTGAAGAGATAAACAGGAACAATGGCAAGGAATGTGAATTATTTCCTAAAACAAAAGGTGCCAAAAATGAAGCTCAAGCTATCTTTCAAGTAGACTACTGCAATTCACATTATATGGGACTGTTCTTGAAAGTGACTCAGAAGTTGCTGCAAGCTTCCATTTCCTTTTTTGGGGGGGAAAGCATTTGTTTCGTTTAAAATGGTAAAATATTTTGTCTTGATTTTGACTTGCCTTAAGTTTTATACACTGTGTAAGCCATCTAAATTTGCTGGAACAGGCAGACAGAAGTACTGGTAACTAAATAAGTAGGTTTTTGTTAATCCCTTAATGCCCATACAGGAAAAGAGAAAAGCCATCTCTTAAACAAAACCAATGTGATTCACCAATCACCCATAATTAGAGATGGTCAATGCCATTAGAGAAAAACCTGCATAGAAACAAGTTACTCTCGGTGTATCTTATTACATCAATATATCTCTTCCAGTAGAGTTCCAATGTATTGGCTGCAAAATTCCATAGAACCATTTATATATATTTTTTCTGTATCACTTTGTTGCATCTAGACATCATCTTGATTTTTGCAACTCAAGTATGATAGCCCTTATTCCAACCTTGATGCATCACAAGATTGTTTGTTATTGTTTTGAAATCTAAAACTGGGCCAGTCTTGAACAACTTGATGCTTAAGCAAAAGAATGATTATGATACACAAAACGTTCCAAAGTGTACATGCAACATTGCATTGCAAAGTGATTGTGGGCCTGAGAAATAAATACAATAATAAAAGAATGAGTACATCACAGAACAATTTTAAATGTGAAATCAGTTAAGATATCTTCAGAGATACCTTTGTAAGATTTTTTTAACCCAAAAGGCATAACAATATTTGTTAATAATAATTTATAGATTAAAAGTAAGACTACTAGATTTAGACTGAAAAAGAGCAACAAACTACTAGATGTCAGCAAAAAAAATTCTTTGCTGCTGCCTAGTGACCATTTGGATTTTTACAGTCCCAGCCTAATAATCCTAGGAAAGATATGAGCTCATTTATAAGTAACCTTCAGCCAGACCTACTATACATTCCTTAAATTATTTTGATGAACAATTGCAAGGTACCCTTTCTCAGTCCATGCATCTTAGCTTGCAATATAGAATAAAATCCAGATTAAAAATATACAGATTTTTACTCTTCCTTCTAATAGAGATGAGGAATAATGCCAATTGTTTGTCCTGGCATTAAAAAGATAAGATTTCTTTGGCTGAACCAACTGGGGACATCATGGCAATATTTTTCTTCGCAATAACATGGGAGGAGGAAAAAAAAATTTTGGATCGCCCGGCCTCCAAGATCTGATTCGAGTTACCTTTTTGACCTTAGCCAAAGTCGGATAGGTGCAGCCACTTTCGGTTCCCGGATAGCCCAGTTAAGAGTTAGAACAGTGTTTCTCAACCTTGACAATTTTAAGGCATGTGGACTTCAACTCCCAGAATTCCACAGCCAGCAATGCTGGCTGTGGAATTCTGGGAGTTGAAGTCCACATGCCTTAAAATTGTCAACGTTGAGAAACACTGAGTTAGAATTACACCCCCAAGTTCCTCCGCAACCCGTGAACGAACCTCACGTTTCTTTCACGGAGCAAGGCGGGAAAAAAAGTCTGGAAAGGAACCTGGAAGTCCTTGATACGGCCGATAGAGGCGTCTCTCTTCCGAACAGTCCCTACAACCGACATTATGACGCGGGAGGAGGGGGCGGAGAAAGAACAGCGGGTCAAGGGTAAGAAGGGGCGTGGTGGCGGTAACCACGGTAGCGTCGGCTTTTTTTTTCTCAATTGGGAAGGAAGTAAAGCACGATGCGGACACGCTATGGCAACCGCCGGGGAAGCAGGTGAGGGCCTTTCTTGCCGATCGAGAGTGAGGCAGGGTTTTTTTTTCTTCTTCCCCTGGCGGGTGACGCGGGCCGCTCCCGCCCTGAGCGCTGCTCACTTTGCAGGGCGCCAATGAAGCGAGGGGCGGATCCCGGGCGCGAGCTTTGTCAGGTGTGTGGATTGGGGTGGAACGTTAGGTAAAAGGTGAATGGCGCGCGCGTTCTACCCTCGTTGTCCCCGCCCCCCGGCCCGGGCAAAGGCGCGCGCTCCTGAGCGCTGCAGCTGCTGCGAGTTTTTGCTCTCGTGCCTTGCGGCGTCGCCGGGCGCAGCTGAGGAGAAAATCCGAAGGTGCTTTTGCGTTCAGGTGTTTTCTTCCTCTCCAAAGCACAGAATAAAACTTCCGCCTTGAATGCATGGACTCCGAGCGGGTAGTTAGGACTGCCACCCCTCAGTTCCGCTCGGTTCGCACCCTGATAAGCCTTCCGGAGGAGTGAAAGGTGTTGCCGGGGTCCTGGCGGTTGAATCGCTGCTGCTTCGAAAAAGCAGCAGGAGGAATGGCTGCAAGTTTTATTACGGTCGGGCAGCGACACGGGGTAGCATCGATTATTCGGGATTGCGGGTCATTTTGCAACGTTTCTTCTTCCGAGCACGCTGCAGATCAACCTGCGGTTAACCAATCTTAATAGCTGTATTGCCCTAATATAGGAACCTGAAATATATATGAAGCAGATTATGGTTTAACGTAGGGAGTTGAAAGAAGCAACATTTAAAAAAAAAAAAGACACCTTATAAAGGCTTGCTGCATGCCTCATGCTAAAATATAAAACAAAAAAGCCTTGATTTTCAGATGGTGGTTTCTGAATCTTGATGTATGATTTAGTGAACACTGTATGCTTCATGATTTTCCTCCGTTTTGCAGTGTTAACTTCAGCACATTTAAAAGTACTATGCTTTGACTTTTGTATCACTCAGGCTAAAAGTGCACATTTGACATCTTCAGGGTATACCCCAAGCATTTCATTCTTGGTTTCTTTCTTTTTCCTCTTTTGCACTTTCTTATTTTTCTTTATTCTTTTCTGTAAAACTTAAAGAATAAACAGAAAATATTGATACTTAAATTACACTTTTGCTGCACATTAATTAGTAGCTAATTTTTTTTAAAAAAGGCTTAAGAAGAAATAAGCCAAAGGATTTTACTAAAGTTGAAATTCTATAGGCATTGATTTTATTTGTGCTAGCATGATATAATAAAATGGTGTGATACTGAGTTTTAGGTAACATAGTGCTGTATAACTATAGTTGAAGTAGACTTGAAGATGCACCATTGATAGTTTGGGAGTATTAAAGGGAATCTTTATAACATTTCTTTGTAATCTCTCAGAAACTATATTAGTATCCCCAACATAGTTCTCTTGAAATTTGACTGTGCTAATAGAAAAAGTGTAAGTTGCTTTTATGTTTTGTTTAGTTTTTTGTTTTTGTGATGTGACACTGTTCGCTAGTTGGTTTAAGATAACATAATTTGGTTATTTCTTCTTTACTTTGTAATTTCAGATAGATAAGTTACAGTACTGTTACCTGTCTTGTTCTACTGTGGTATTTTTTCTATGATGTTAAATTAAAAACAATCGTAACTGTTCCAAACAGAATTTATATCTTGGTATGGTAACTCCTATAATGAAATAGTTCTTTAAATATGGCTCTATAATGGCATACATATTGCATGCTTTTTGTAAAAAAATTGCAGGAAAATACAAAAAAAATCCCAAGTACCAAAAATATACAAAAAATCCCACAGTTTATTCTACCTCTTTAGTAGTAGATAAGCATAACCTTTTAAATAAACAATTTGTTTTGAATAGTTGGGGATTAACCAAAATGAATAATTAAACTACATATATTCAGGATATGCATAGTGTATGCCTCTGTCAGCTGACTTGTATATCTACTATTTTAAACATACCTAAATGAATTGAACCAGTGGACTTTAAGGCTTACTAGTCTTTCATAAGGACTACAAGCAATGAAAATACTTGTGTTACTTTAAAAGTACAGTTTATAACAAAGGATATCAATAAACATCAAGTGCTCATTTTAGTAGCTTAAAATAATCTCACAGCTAATAGATAAATTATGGAAAGGACAAAAAGAGAAAGGAGAGAAGTTAATGATTTAACACCTCCAGCAGTACATTGGAATTTATTTATATTTGATTATTTCCTCTATCTTAGGAAATTATCTGATGAAAAGCAGTGTCAAATATATAACTGAAAGATGAACATAACTGTTTTGCATCTAAGGAACTAAGCCAGTATGCTATCTCATGGGTTGTTCTTTCTATTTTTTTCCAATTTTCCTTTTAGGTTCCTGGTAAGAAAAATATGCAACAGTATTATTTATGTTTTTGAAATCATAAATTTTCAGTATACTTCCTTAAAGGTGAGATAATTAACACTCCAGTCCATTGCTGAGAGTTTTGAGGGGTTTGAGGCTGAGGAGAAGTGTTGTAATGATGTTGGGTTTTAGGTGTTCTCTAAATCTTGCTTTTTTAAAGACAGTGTTCTACTACTGACAACATAAGGACCATGTCCTCTATAAAGTTTCTTTAAGTCATTCATTGGGTTAATAAGCTGAATGCAACTAAAAATTTCTCACTGTTTTGTCCCTTTACTTCAACTTCAACTATACATCTGGATTTTTATAACTTCGTGCATGCTGCTTTTTCCATTTTTGTAATTCAGGTGTTTCTATCTTCTATCTACATTTCTCTTTAGTCTATATACATTTCTCTTTCCAGTATTTTGACCTACAGGTAGTCTTCAACTTACGATCACAATTGAGCCCAAAATTTCTGTTGCTAAGCAAGATAGTTGTTAAGTGAGTTTTGTTCCATTTTATGACCTTTCTTGCCACAGTTGTTAAGTGAATCACTGCAGTTAACTTAGTAATATGGTTGTTAAGTGAATTTGACTTCCCCATTGACTTTGCTTGTCAAAAGGTTGGGAAAGGGGATCAAATGAACTTGGGACACTGCAGCCATCATAAATGCTACCATGTTTCCCCCAAAATAAGGTCGAGTCTTTTTTTTTTTTTGCCTCCAAAAGAGGCACCAGGTCTTATTTTGGGGGGATGTCTTTTATACGCACCTCCAGGACCAATAGCACCGCCCAGCAGGTCGACTTCTTCTGTGGCCAAAGGAGCAGCTTCATCCTACAGCTGCATTCCAGCCTGCATTCTGCAGTCAGGTCTTTCCGGAAGGCCTATGTAGCCGAGTACTGAGCTACGGATTCAATCCAGAGCTCAGTTCTTGGCTGCAGTGGCCTTCCGGAAAGGCCTGTGACTGAGAAATGCAGGCCTGGCTGCAGAAGACGCAGCAGAAAAAGTGGGCTGATGAGGAGAAGCCTGGCTGCAAGGTAAGTCGGTGCGGGGCGTGTGGGGCAGATCCACACCCCCACCCCTGCCCTAGCTTGATTTTTAGGTGTGTGCCTCACCCCAAAACTAGGGCTTATTTTTGGGGTAGGGTTTATATTAGGCCCACCCCCAAAAATCAAGCTAGGGTTTATTTTCAGGGTAGGCTTTACTTTCGGGGAAACACGGTAGTTGTCAAGGGTCATATATGTGAAAATTGGTTATAAGTCTATTTTTTTCAGTGCCATTGTAATTTTGAAGGTCACTGAATGAATGGTTATAAGTCAAGGACTACGTCCATATCGGCTGTTAGAATTTGGAACTGATCATTATTAAAACCACATATTACTATAGAGATAATATATGAGTCACAAGACAATTGCATGATTCTTAAAAATAAAAGGACCGAACAGTCAGCAAAAGCCAGAACTGGCTATTCTCATAGGACATATAATATACATATACATATAAAAGTTGCATATATTAATTCAGAATTTGAGTATTATGGAATAACTAAGAGATGTTGCTGAAGAAATAAAACAAATTATTGAGAACAGCATTGTAGATATTTTTTTATTTTGGGGATGATAAATTACTAATATTTTTAAAGGTTGCTTAATTGCAAAAAATGTAAAATGATTCAGTATTACATGACTTGGGAGTCACGTAAGGGAAAAAGAAAAAAGAAATGTTTCAATTTTCCTACTAGTAAAAAAGTTTCAGTTTGCAATTAAACATTACAAACATTTTTTAAAAATACTCCATTAAGTTTAACTGCATTATTATCAAATATTTTACAGATTGTACTGAAAATATCATTGGCTGCACTTCAACATTATGAAAATTATTTCTGATTATCAAAACAATAACATTTCAAAAAAATCATAACATTTTAAAGTATATAGGTGGCTATTTTTTTTAATAAGAGAGGGACTTTGATTGTGAATCCAGGTAAGAATCAGTCATTAAAATGGACACATTTTTCCAGACTTGTCTAGCCACTTCTCAATCTGTTCCAAGTTCTTTCAACATACATGTGCATACATTTTACTTTTTCTTTGGCTTAAAATTCAGTGTGATCAATGTTATCTGTAATAAATTAATTATTACATATGATACTTCAAGAAATATTTTGTTAATCATTACACAATGTAACTTGCTTATGTCATATACTTGGCAACAAAATCCCAATACCCATTATTCTTTCTCTTTTTTAAAGAAACAGAACTTATGCAATGTTTGTATTCCTAGAGACGACTAAATTATATTTTACCTTGCCTGCACTATCATGTGACATACTTTATTTGTTTATTCATTAGTGTGAAACTAGCCAGTAACATCTTTTATATCCATTTAGTCACCAGTCATATTTTAATTCATCTGGGTTTCCACATGAATGGGTCTGTGAACTCCAGCATATTACTACCAGAGGACTGGAAAAGAGCTGATGTAGTTTCCATCTTCAAAAAAAGGGGGGGAAATGGATCCAGGAAACTACAGACCTATCAGCCTGACCTCAATACCTGGGAGGATTCTGGAAAAGATAATCAAGCAACGAATCAGTGAACACCTAGAGGCAAATAAAATGACTTAGCAAAAGCCAACATGGGTT